TTTTTTGGCACTGTAATAGCCTTAGCGATGTTGGCCGAGTTGAAAAAAGCATGCCAGTCGCTTATCTTCTGCGCCAGCTGACGCCAATTGGAATTGCCAAGGGAAGCCAAGTCTTTCTCCACTTGGTCTTGCCATCTTCCTCGCCGTCGAATACTCCAAGAGCCGCCTCATCGGATTTTGCCATTGTTCATGCTTCTGCGCCATATACCAGCACGGGCATGATGAACGACTTATAGAGTGTGGTTTTCTTACGTCGAGAGAGGACTTTACTCCTGAATTGCGTACTCAGTCCAAAGTAGCACTTGTTGGCAGGAGTAATTCTGCGTTGGAGTTACTGCTGATTCCCAAATAAACGAAATTCTCTACTTTCTCGAAATTATAACTGTCAACAACAAAACATGTGACAAAAACGAGATCATAAATAACTTCGTTCCATAACAAGTTCTAAGAAAAAAAAACATCGGTTTATACGTACATACATATATGCAAACGTATGAAAAACAGCTCATAAATATTGAAACAAAATTAACTAATGGGTCAACTTAGTAATTCTCAGTCGTGACTATAAATTTTGTAAGTGCTTATACGCATATAAATTATGGTTGAATTTATAAGTAAAGACTTGTTTGATTGAGTATTCACTAACTTTTGAGTTCAAGCTGGCGCCATGGATGATTTTATATTCAACTCTGATACAAATAAACTACAAACATAAATATATTTTTAAAACGTAAATATTTATGGAAATTAATATACTTGTAGGTACTTTTTTATATAACTGAAGCAAAAAAATCGATATCTTCTGTATAAGAAAAATAAAATCATGCAACTAGTTCTATCATTTACGTAACTTTTGCAAAAACTACTTAAATATCGCGCTTTTAAGGTAAACCAAAGGAAATAAATTGATTTTTAAATAGCTGCATATACTTATGTATATATGTACTTATACATACATATATGAGAACCAATTAAAAAGATAACATCTTAATCAAAACACTTCTTCATAATATGAAACTACTTAACAATAAAAAAAACCGATATTCAAATAAGTTTTTTTTTTGCATATGCACATACATATGTACATATGTAGCTGTTTATTTTATGAGTTAGAAGACATGTGTTTCGTTTAATTTTTTGTTTAAAATCGAAACACTTTAATTGAAAAATCCATAATCGAGTTTGTACAACAAAAATCACAATGAAGCACAAACAAAAATAATCAAAAAAGCACCTATTAAATCTTATAAAAATAAATTGTGTTTGGCAAATTTTTTTAAAAGCGTCAATGCTTGCCACTTATGGAAATTAATTGATTCTAAATATTTGATTTTTTTTATTTAACCCGCTGATGAAATATGTAGCTTTATATATGTACATACAACTACTTGTCAGCGTTCGTTACAAAGTATTTTGAGCGAGCAAGTGTTGAGTGTAGACAAATTAACAAGTTCTTTTCAATGGGAGTGGCAACTGGTGCACATTAGATCGTTGATATATTATCAATACTGCGAAAATTTCCCAATTTGTTGTTGGTGGCGATATTATTCGTGTTACAAAATTCAAATTATTACGATTTTCCAAGTAGCTGTCAATGTTAATAACGGTACGAGTACATACTTTTAGAATGTGTGCCATAAGTTAATCTGACGGCTGTTGCCTTGATACCAACAACTATTGTAATATTCAAGAACACAACCTTTTCTGGCTCTCATCCACTTCACAGTACCTTATATTAGTACATATAAAGACAACATTTCAGTTTTGGGAAAATCATTCCCTCTAGAAACTCTATGTATAAAAACTTACAGGATTATACCTGGAATCCGGTGTTTGTTGCGTGCCGGGGTAGAAACTTTGTCGCTAGGTAGTGTTGCTGTTGTAGCGGCTTACTTACTTAGATGGGATTGTGCTGCTGGCTAGAAGACATTAGCCCTGTTCGCGTACGCACTATCCAGTAAATCCAGTACTAATTTTACTGGTTTTTACTGGATGTCGTTTTCGTACGCAAAAACTTGCAAGAAACTAGCAAAAGAGGGGAAATTGAGGGAGCAAAAATGACAGCTGAACTTGCAAGTTTTACTGGATTTTTACTGGATAAATTTTTACCAGCAACTATTTGCTAGTAAGAAAAACAGCTGATGGCATGATGCTTATTGTAAATAACATTAAGAAAATAATTTTTTGTGGTGCTTTTAGAGTTACAATTGACAAAATAAACCTATTTAAATATATAATAAGATGGAAAACACTAGTTTTCTAAGAAAATTGCATCGGAAAATAACAAATTAATCAGCTGTTCATAAAACTAGCAACTTCTTGCTGGTTTTGCGTTTTCGTACTTTCTTGCATATTTCACTCATTGGGAGTAAATATTGGCTTACTCTCCGAAATTTGGTTACTGGCAAGTTACTGGATATTTTTTTGCTGGAGAATACGAAAACACAACTTTTGTTGAGGCTCTGTACTTCATTGAAAAATTCGGTTGTATGCGTCGCGGTGGTGAACAGATTGTCGGAGATTACTGCGAGTATCGGCCTGACGAAGGTGTTCACGCTAGAACAGAGTCACACTACTGGTCCGAGCCGGCATAAAGCAAAATTTTGGACCCTGCACCCTGGACATTACTGCAACTCCGCTACACCACAACTCCCAACGCCTGCGCCTGCACCAGTGCCAACGCCCGCATAAACCCCACAGCCACGGCCCACGTACACACTGACACCGACTTTAACACTGGTGATAACTCTAGCGGCAGGACCACCACAACCGCAACCAGTACAACAAGCAGTTCATAACTGTCATCAGATCAGATGGTGATCCCGCATCAGGAATCTCAACATAGCCTGTCACTGTCCACCCTTATCATCTTTGAGATGTGGAAAATGGTTAGGATCATTTCCCTCCTTAAGCCAGGGAAGAAGGCCGACGCAGGAGACTCTTACCGGCCAATCTCCCTCCTATCCCCAGTAGCAAAGACAATGGAAGCACTACTCCTCCGCAGCATGACGAAGCATCTGAAACTAGCCGAACAATAACAACGATTCCGCAAAATGCACAGCATGAAACGCCATCACCACACGTCGACCCAGCGCACACCTCAGCGACCTTTGGAAAAATCCGAGCTACGAACAAATTTCTCAAGTCATTAGCCGGCAGCAGTTGGGAAGCCGACAAAGAGACCGTGCAGACAACATACCCGCGTATTTACCCGCGACGAGGAATACCGCCGAGGGTGTAGACGCAGTGCAGAGAAGTGAAATACTGCAGCTCCGCTCCGACACAAACTCTCCAGCTATGAAAGTATACAACTCGGAATTCGTTGGTGGCAGCAGAGGAACTGGAAAGTGTTCGATGAGATGGAAAGATCAGGTGTAGAAGGACTTGGCTTCACTTGGCATTTCCAATTGCAGTCAGTTGGCACAGAAAAGAAACAGCTAGCGTGCTTTATTTACATGGTTTCAAATCGCTTAGGCGGTTAAATCTCCAAACAATTCAAAGAGAAGTAATTTAAGCTCAAATTCTTGTTGGCCACTTTTAATCGCTTTGTTCGCTTTAAGAATATATTGGTAACTGCTTGCCAGGCGTTAGTATTTCAGTAGATCCAACAAAACGGAATTAATTTATTGCGTTCACGCTGCGTACTTTAAAGATCACGATACAGAAAGCTTTAAATACGAAATTCAATAAATTAATTAATAAAAAAACTGGCATGCCAACTTAGCACTGATAAGTTCACGCCATAAAGTTCATAAAATATGATTATGAGTACTTACATACATACGTATGTATGTATGTAGACAAATGCATATGTACTCTAATACTACTAACACATACGAAACTAAACGATCGAATTGATATTGGAGTAATGACCCAACTAGTAGCATAAATTAATTTCATGCCTTCCTTTCTTTCTTTTTATTTTAGTTGCACGCGGCCAGAATGTTACCCACCCAATTACAATGAAATAAATGCACAAATGACAAATGCGCCCACAACATTGAAAAAATATATAGTCGAAATACATACGCACTCACATAAGCAGAAGCTTCAGCATTCACTAAAGTGAAAAAAGTTACTGCAATTGCAATGCATAAATGTCAGTAGTGTGGAAGGCATTTGAATGAAGTTACACTCAGGTACCGTTAAATGTTTCCAACACACAAAACGCCAAACCTCAGGAATAAACGAAGAAATAAAAAACAAATAACCAAATTCAACCGGCTGACCAAACGACATACCGACCATTACTCAATAAGTCAAACAGTCAACAGCCAACAGCCAGACTATTAGNTCAGTTGGCACAGAAAAGAAACAGCTAGCGTGCTTTATTTACATGGTTTCAAATCGCTTAGGCGGTTAAATCTCCAAACAATTCAAAGAGAAGTAATTTAAGCTCAAATTCTTGTTGGCCACTTTTAATCGCTTTGTTCGCTTTAAGAATATATTGGTAACTGCTTGCCAGGCGTTAGTATTTCAGTAGATCCAACAAAACGGAATTAATTTATTGCGTTCACGCTGCGTACTTTAAAGATCACGATACAGAAAGCTTTAAATACGAAATTCAATAAATTAATTAATAAAAAAACTGGCATGCCAACTTAGCACTGATAAGTTCACGCCATAAAGTTTATAAAATATGATTATGAGTACTTACATACATACGTATGTATGTATGTAGACAAATGCATATGTACTCTAATACTACTAACACATACGAAACTAAACGATCGAATTGATATTGGAGTAATGACCCAACTAGTAGCATAAATTAATTTCATGCCTTCCTTTCTTTCTTTTTATTTTAGTTGCACGCGGCCAGAATGTTACCCACCCAATTACAATGAAATAAATGCACAAATGACAAATGCGCCCACAACATTGAAAAAATATATAGTCGAAATACATACGCACTCACATAAGCAGAAGCTTCAGCATTCACTAAAGTGAAAAAAGTTACTGCAATTGCAATGCATAAATGTCAGTAGTGTGGAAGGCATTTGAATGAAGTTACACTCAGGTACCGTTAAATGTTTCCAACACACAAAACGCCAAACCTCAGGAATAAACGAAGAAATAAAAAACAAATAACCAAATTCAACCGGCTGACCAAACGACATACCGACCATTACTCAATAAGTCAAACAGTCAACAGCCAACAGCCAGACTATTAGTGGAATAAAGTAGGAGCCGCTACATAAATAAATACTTAGTCACAATGGACTCACGCATCGGACTGGATTACATTGTCGAGAATCGTGAATACATTTCGAAATTGGGCACTGCATTAGACACCAGTAATGCCGTCGTTAAGAAGCAAGTTTTCGAATTACTATCTGCGCTGTGCGCCTACAATGCCGAAGGCTACGCACGCGCAATTGAAACTTTAGAATTTTACAAGGTAAGTACAATTTTGCAACGAATAAATATGTATACAAATATGTACATATGTATGTAGAGACAAATATAGACACATGACTTTTTTAAATAAAGTATACATATCTATGAGGAAAAGATGAGGTTATGAAAAAAAAACACAAAAAAATGGGGTGGAGAGGGGGGTTTAACATACATAATATGTACATATATATGGAAAGAAACATATCAACCGAAACAAAAAAAATTTTAGAAACCCATTTTTGATCACAGTCATAATTCGGTTGACATGGGAGTTTTCCATATATATATTCGACTTCATCACTCCCCATACAAAAAAAAAATATCGGTACTTTGTTTGAGAAAAATATTAAGATTTGCGTTAGCTGGACCAATTTGAAAATATCTCCAAAAAGGGAGTTTTTTATGAATAAAAATAGTTTCTTAAAGATTTTTCTCTTTTCTACTGAGCTCCCATAAGTCTAAATCAGAATAGTTGTGGCCCAGTTGTTCAAGGTTTTCGTAAATCAATCTTTGAAAAAAGTAAAACAATAGCATCAAAAATCCCATTATTACGATTTCGTTGAAAAGATTTTTAAATATTTTTATGCAGATTTTTTAAGCTTACTCTGTTTTGTCATCTGAGGGGACTTTTTTCAAAAAGTTCTTTAAGAAACTATTTTTATTCATAACAAACTAAATTTTTTAAGGTATTTTCAAATCGGTCCAGCTCGCTTAAATTTTAATATTTTTCAGAAATATATTGGTGCACGTCTTAAAATATAATAAGTTTTGTAATACCGGCATAAAAACCGCAACTTTTTTTGGTGAGGCAGTCTAATGTACATATATACATATGTTCGGAGTTCCAAATTTTGATAAAAATGTTATAAAAGTCATATGCCTAATGTACATATACATATATATACATACATATATGCGCATATTTACTTTCTTTCGCAGTGTAAATTATCAGTTATCATTGATATGTTCTAAATCGCGATAAGAAAGGCCTATCTCATGTTTTTGTAGGAAATGAATACAATTCACGGAAGAATATAGGTTAAGTTGAACAAACGATTAGACATTTTCACATAATTATATTTACTATATCTTGTTTACAACCCGTTATCACTAGAAGAATAAAGCAAGCTCATTCGAGATAAAAGCGTCTACTACGAACGTTGGAAAATAAATTCGCCATGCAATAAATATCGGAGTTTTAAGTACAAAACCGCGAAAAAACCGCGTAAATGACATTTTTTGCCAAAATTTGGATTTGCTCACCGAAGCTCTTGGCTCAAGCCTTATCCATTCGTCCTAATATAAACTAGCCAGAAATGCGTTTGCTTTATAAAAGAGAGAACCGTTTTGAAATATGAGTGTTTTTACCCTCAACAAAATAGTTTATGCAACCTCTCATACGTAGTGATGGCATACAAATTTTAATAATCGATTAATCGTTTAATTGATTAATCGAAAGCATTCGATTAATAATTGCAATTAATCGTAAGAAATTAACCGATTAATCGGTCGTTTCGATTAAAATCGAAAATTAATAAAAACCATTTACATAAGCTATACAAATTTACTGTTTTATTTAAGGAAGCATTTCTTGTTAAATTGTGAAAGCTTGCGCCGTGAATTCAGTGCGCAAACAATCAAGAAAACTAAAAACTAAGGGAAACAATAAATGAAAAGAAGCAAAATAGTATACCATCCGTTATACACCCCGTGACAAAATAATAAGAGCACCACAAGAATTTTTTTTTGTGGTTTTTCACAAAAATGTCGTTTAAAAAATTTGCAGAATATCTATGAGAATGTGAAAAATCTTCCAACTAGTAAAATTATACATATATACATATGTACCGAGTAGAGTGGACACTTTTATTGTTGCTAATATTATTGAGTAAGAATGCCAATTTTGTTACGGAATTTTGATTTATACATTACTGTGTTAGTAAAGTAGTCAGGTTTTGATGTCAGCATTTCCATCTTTTTTGTTTTGTAAATTTTATGCATTTTAAATTTTTAATTTTTTTCTGCAATTGAAAGTCTTTCCTGCTTGCCCAAAACTTTCTCTTTTATAACCAAAAGATGTTAAGGATGCTAGGCTTACTGTGCCTATTCAAGTGAATCTCGATATACACAGTACATACAAATATTTATAGTTTTTATAAACTAATTCTAATATATTTTTATTATATTTTCTTCATATAGAATCTCAAAAATGAACGATATCGTTTCAAAATAGTGATAAACGAACTGGAAAAAACATCCAATGTTGAATACCAAGCTGCCTTATTGGCATTCATCAATTGCGTGATTATATCAGCATCCAATCTACAAGAACGTATTCGAATACGCAATGAATTTATCGGTAAGTAATATATTAAATAGTTATTATCTAAATATATGAATGTGTATGTGCTATACATAAGTATATATTTTTATATTTAAAATCCCCTGTCCATTTGTTCGAAACTGTAAAAATTCTGAACTTTTGACGCATTAAGATTCTTGGACCTCAAGAAATGTGCAGCTTAGAGATCTACGGAACTGGTTCGGTTGGATTTTCCCTTTGAAGAAGATCGCATGTGACACCGTGCGACAAAACCAAAGAACTTCAAAACAAACATGTAAAACTACGTTTTTAGCTTTTCTCTCGGATGTTTATTTTAAAGGACTATTATTTTAAAGGGCTTGAAATTTCGGAGATATGTTTATTACAAAAAAAAAATATTTAAAATATGCTTTGAAATGCAGAATAATAATATGGAAACCAAATGAAAGAGAAAATTATGTAGAATTAAAAAAAAATATTTTTTTACTCACAAGCACGAAGAAGCTTTTATAATTAACTTTTTATCCTCAACCAATAAAGTTAGTAGGACGAAATTCAAAGATGTGGACGTGTTTATATTGTTTATTAACGCATCATTTTTTTTTTAATAAATATTGGAAATTTTCAAGGATATTCAAAGATTAAATTTTTAAAGGGACGTTGTTAATACCAATTCGTCCTTGTGCACCGAAAAGTGAATCTTTTCCATTTCTATAGAATTTTCTCTTTCATTTGTTACTCGTATTGTTATTCTACATTGCTATGAATAATTTTTTGAGTTAATTACACCGTGTGACAAAAACCCAAAAAATTTCAAAATGCACGAAACAATCAATATACTAAGGAAACTGTGGGCCTGATATAGTGAAACTGTGTTTTTAATTTTTCTCTCTGATGTCAAGCTTTCAAATGAAAGAGAAAATTCTGTAAAATATAAAAAATTATGTTTTTTGGGTATTGAAAATGCCCATTTAATTAATTTGAATTTTTTTAAGCTAATAAAGTTAAAAGGCCAGAATTCGAGGATATGGTCATGTGTAAATTTTTTTCAAAAATACATATTGCAAATTTGCAAAGTTATTCAAGTATCAAGTTTGAAAGGGAATTTTTAGTATCCTTTCGTCTTTGTGCATCAAAATATTTTATTTATTTTTATTTACTTTATTTTATTGGGAAAATTGTCAGAATGTTCAAGGATACAATTTTAAAAGTACCTATTCATCCTTATGCACCAAAGATATTTAAATTTCTTTAATTATACGGAATTTTCACTTTTATTTTGTATACACATTGCTATTCTACAATGCAATGAGTTTTTTAAATATTTTTTTTAATTAATCATGTCTATAAAATTTCAAAGTCCTCTTAAGAACAATCCTGACATCAGAGAAAACAACTAGAATATATTAATTAATTTATTATTTTTTTTGTTTAAATTGGCTGTCGCACGGTGTAATATCTTTGAAATTTCAAAGTCCTTTTAAAAAAAATTCTGACGTCAGAGAAAAAAACTAAAAACGCAGATTTGCTATATTTGGCCGCTAATTTCACAAGTATATTAATTTCTTTGTATGTAAATTTTACTGTAGCACGGTGTTAGCAGAAGTCTTGATTGCATTACCGTTATAAGTATACGCCATTGCCACTTTAGAATATTACGTCGATATCACTTCTGACCTTTATTTAGAGTTATCCATAAAAGGAGTAAATATCATACGTTACCAAAAATATTGTTCCGAAATTTCCGACCCATCCTAATATATTTTTGTTGAGTACCCATCTGGAGTTCTTTCTCGCACCCATTGCCAATTCATATTCTCACCTCTTCACAATATATGTAGATTTTGTTTGTTAAATTCTGCCGTAAAGTAATTTTACTCAATTAAAATGACAGATCATTTCTTTTGTTGCAAGTTCATTGCTATCGTTCGATTTTTAATTTTTTTTTGTTCTGTTCAACACATTATGTGTAATGAACTTTGAAGTGAGGCCATACAGAATTAGCTTCACTACAAAAATAATAGAATTAATAGAATAAAAGATAATCAGTTATAGTTTCTTATTCATTGCGTTGGTGTCAATAAAACCGCAACCGTTCCAGCAACCAGTCTTGTCGGCCCACCTTACAAAATTTGTTTGTATGTAAATATGTATAAAAAAAAACCATAGATTAACCCGAAAAAATAACCATTGAGAAACACGCAAACGTGTTTTCATATACATAGTTTGCGTACTCATTCCTTTCAATGAATGGATGGGCTCTTAACAAGTCACCAATGAGACAGTAGTAGCCTTGACCAAGCTAATGGCAGCGGCTAGCCTTTGTTGTCGTTGTCGCCATCCTCATTGCCGCTAGCTATAAGCGCCTGCGCATGCGCACCGGGCAGATAAGCGTATATATTTACATACCTACTTACATATATATTTTTGTATTTATAACTAAGATTTCAAATATCCATTGAAAAATAAATCATAGCACGTGCGGACGGTTGCATCGCAAGTGGCATGACAATTTTTCAGAAATCGAACTTGAACACAGCCATTGACATGGTCAGTGAGAAGTGATTAGACGCAAGCAGCCAGCTGGTACGTTCAATGCTGGCATATGTGCTAATTAGTGAAAACAAATTCACAAAAATAAACGCACGAAAGAATGTATGTTGAAAATATTGGCCAGTGTTGAATTTCGGTAGCATCTGATTTCATTTGCGCACAACTATGCAATTAGCTTTATATTTAATCTACATCATTATTATCTTTCTTTTCGCTAAATTCGTTTGACTTAATTTTTTGTTTACTTATTTTATTTTTAAAAGGAGTTTGAGATTTCATAGAGATGACTAACTAAAAATATATTCATTATGGATATCAAAAAAAAGAGAGCAAATTCTGTCGAATTAAAAAAAAATACAGTTTTTAGGTAGACAAGGACGAAAGTATACTAAAAATGTCTTTTTGAAACCTTATTCTTGAATTCTTTTGTTAGCTTAGGATAAAAAATAATAATTGGAAGAACAATCTCAATACCTATTCGTCCTCAATCGTTTTCAATTCTCGACAATTTTTTTCTTTTATTTGCTACCCATATTATTAATCTACGTTGCACTGAATTAATTAATCTTTTTGTTGAATTTCAAAGTCTTTTTAAACAAATCCTGACGCCAGAGAGAAAATCTAAAAACGCAGTTTTACTATATTTGGTCCTTAGTTTTGTGATTATATTGATTTTTTCGTGTTTTTATAGTTTATAGCGCCTGGAATTCCAAGAAGCTGCAAAATTTCTCCTGCTTACGTACCCGATCAGCATCACATGGGTTTCGCTATCGTTTCGTTACCGATCATTCAATTAAAATTGTTATTTTTTACGTAAAATATTTGTTTCATGCAACACCCATATCCGGGGCTGTTCGAATACTACTTTAGCCATTTTTGTCCGAAAATAACCCTTAAATCGTGTTGATAGACAGGTCACTTAATTGGCTATTGGAGACATTTCGAAGCTTAGACTATCTGCCATTCTCAGACCACTATGCGTACGCCTGGGGAGAAATTGTCGACCAGGTAGGCCATCGCCATAGCGCATACCAGCTATTGAACTGGTATTTTTACAGAGTGGTTTGGCTTTTCACTTCAGGGTACGTACAGATTTACATACATGTATGTATGTTCATTTTAAGCACCGAAACCAAATAATATATGTATTTTTAATTTGCATTTTACCTTAACGTAATGTTTATTTAATATTCAAACTTCATAGATACTGCGCTAAATAACCAAAGAACCTTCTTAAACAAAGTGGTTTAACTGCCTTGTGTGGCGACAGGCGTTCGTTTGCATAAGAGGAGAAAATAATAAATAAAACAAGGGAAAAACGAGATTTTTAATTACCATCCATATTTAGCTTCTAAAGTAATAATAAAATTTATATATTATATATATATATATAGAATTTACATACATGCATACGTTCACATACACAAATACGTAAATGCACCAAATATGGTGAACAAACGACTTTCACAATTGTCAACTCCTTTGTTCAAAGTTATTTCAGTTTGTTTTTTTTTGTCTCGTTTATTAAGTGCTTATTTTTTTGGCTTTGTCATATAGACATGTTTTATTTACATATGTATGTACATTAGACTACATCACAAAAAACAAACTGCGGCTTTTTTGTCGGGATTACAAAATTTATTATATTTTAAAACTTCAACCGAAATATTTCGGAAAGATATTAAGATTTACGTGGGTTGGACCGATTGGAAAATACCTTCAATAATGCATTTTTTCTTTTTGAATAAAAATAGTTTCTTAAACGATTTTTTTGGAAAAAAATCCCCTCCGTTGGCAAAACAGTTTAAGCCTTAAATATCTGCATAAAAATATTCAAAATTTTTTTCAACGGAATCATAATAATGAGATTTTTGATGCTGTTTTTTAACTTTTTTTCAAGGATTTGATTAAGACTATATCGATGTAGACTTGTGAGGTACCAGTGGAAAGGTATTTTCTCATCCTTCTTAAAAGCCTTGCAGAAAAACTCATTCACGTCCCAATTTTTTCGTTATCAAATGCCAACACATCTTAATTCAACATGGGATGAGGCTCGTTTGTTTTACCTTTTTCTTTCAATTAGCAAAAAAATAAAAACAAGTGAGAAAATTCCTTTCCAATGATACCTCATATGTCTGAATCGGTAAAGTTTAGGCTGAGTTATTCACGTTTTTTTAAACCAGTAAAGTTCAAAAAACCAGAAAAACGTTCAAAAAACAGCATCACAAATCTCATTATTGTGATTCCGTCGAAAACATTTTTTAAATATTTTTAAGCAAATTGTTTAAGCTTAAACTGTTTTGTCAACTCAGATGGCTTTTTGCAAAAAATACTCAAAAAACTGTTTTTATTCACAAAAAAACTAAATCATTAGAGGTATTTTCAAATTGGCCCAGCTCACGTAAATCTCAATATTTTTGGTCCTAAACGTAATAGATTTTAGAATTCCGGTGGAAAAACAATACCGATTTTTTTTGCATGGG